GGGGAATAAAACACAGTTCTCCCAGATTAACCAAGAAGAAGAAGAAGAAGAAGAAATTGGATTTATACCTCGCCCTTCACTACCCAAAGGTGTCTCAGAGCGCCTTACACACTCCTTTCCCTTCCCCTCCCCACAACAGACACCCTGTGAGGTAGGCGGGGCTGAGAGAGCTCTTGACAGAAATGGCTCTTTTTCAAGAACAGCTCTTATCAGAACTACGGCTTGCCCAAGGTCATCCAGCCAGGTGCAAGTGGAGGAGTGGGGAATCAAACCCGGTTCTTCCAGATTAGAGTGCACGCACTTAACCACTACACCAAATGCACATGTAGTTTCCTTTGTATACCTGGAATGGAGCCACAGCTCCATGGTAGGAACTCTGGCCGTGTGGATCCAGTTTCCAGGTTCTCTACTGAAAAGGCTGTCGGGAAAGACCCTTCCACGAGCAACTTTGTAAGACGCTGCCACTTTGGTGTGGGCCACATTGGTCTCAATCATCACTGGTCTAACTCAGTAGCAGTCTTCAGGATAAGTTCAGAGTTTTCTCTTTTTCAAAGCAGAGGATAAATACACAAAAAGGAATTAACAGATCACTGTGGAGTTACAGATAATGACAGAAACGTGTGCAAAGATCCATCAGTCCCACAGTCATTGTCTGACTTTCTGTTTCCTCTGGGTGACTTAGATTTACACTTGTTTGCTCTAATGAATATTAATATTAAATGGACCCATTATAATTGGGGCTATTACCATGAGTGGTGAATAAATTGAAGGAGCTTAAGCAGTTTATGTTCATTGTTCCTGGGAAATTAAATTTTATAGGAAAATTTCCATGCTCTTGGCTAAAGCAAGCATGGAAGGTTGAGAACCAGATAGGGTCTGAAACGCTTTCCCCGGAGATTAAACTTTTTGAAGAAACAGAACGTCACCACCAAACTATTCTTTATTCAGATGATTTGAAACAAAGCAAAAAATTACAGAAGGTATTTTCAGCTTAGAAGAGGAGAGAAGAAGAGATTGGATCTATACCCCACCCTTCACTACTCAAGGGAGTCTCAGAGTGGCTTACAAACTCCTTTCCCTCCCCCTCCCCACAACAGACACCCTGGGAGGTCGGTGGGGCTCAGAGAACTCTGACAGCAACTGCTCCATAACGATGGCTTGCCCAAGGTCATCCAGCAGCTGCAAATGGAAGAGTGGGGAATCAAACCCGGTTCTCTCAGATTAGAGAGAAGAAGAAGAAGAGATTGGATTTATACCCTGTCCTTCACTACCCAAAGGAGTCTCAGAGCGGCTGACA